TCATTATACAGGTCTCCCTCCAAATAAAGACCACTTTTGGGACCTGGGTTTACATGGTCTTTAGCAGCTTTTGTCTCTTTAGTATAGAAAAAATAAAAGAAATTTGTTAATTTGTGACCACAGAATAGTGGTCCTTAATTTGAGAGTATTTCATTTGAGGAAGACCGGTATTTACAAATGGAATTACAATTGTCATAATTACAATTTAATTATTGCATTACAAATAACATCAAAATTATGTACACAATCGATTTAAATTAAGCATTTGGAATAAATACGATTAAGTAAATAAATGAATGAAAAAAGATAGCATTAACATGGAAATAGAATTGATTAGATTTCTGTTTTAATGATATGTATTATGATAGATCCTATATACCATATATGTATATAGGATCTGTGGTATTACTTTTCTTGTAATGTTTAAATGAACCAGTTTGAATAGCAAGTTTATATAATGTATAAAATAATAACAATTAACGTATATAGTTAGGCCTATAAGTGTACAGTATATTCAAACTTAGGTATTGTGATAGACCTAGCATATTTCACGTAGCATTTTGTTAAGCCATTATGTTCCCCTTGTTTTCGGTTTATTGACTTTTTAACTACTGTATGTAATCTTTCAGCCCCCATTGCTGCTCGATGTTTTCCCCGAAAAAAGGCACAATAACAAAAACCACAACCTAGTTATTACTATAGTACCTTACTACTACCACTGGTGCTACGACTACTACTACGGTACAGTACAGTACTATTATCTGTGATTCAAAGAGAATATGTTGATGAAATAGTATTTAGGGCCAACATATTTCTTTATGAATCAGTACTTAAACAACCTTGTAATAACATAATTCACAATGCAAATATGAGGGTGTTTGAGAACATGTTTCAGGTATCATATCAATGAATCCACCGTCACAATAACGCCTTTCAAACACAACAACACGTCGGTTTTGTGACCTTTAAATATTCTTTGTCATAAACCGCATATGTCAAATTCCAGATTGAATAAGTCGCAACTTCCGGCGGAACACTGTTGAGATATTAATCGAAAAAATTGTTAAGATTTTTTGTTTGTTTTCTTATTTACTATTCGTCATACCACAAACGAGCATTCAGTGTATACATTGGTTGGCTCGAGTAACGTAATTACGTATTGTTCAAACATTAATCCTATTCAGATCTTGATCAGGGAGTTTAATTAACGAGGCTAGAGAGTCACCACATCTAGGCATCTGCAGTGAATTTCATTAGGGTTGGAGACTATGGCCTATAGGTTGACTCAGATTAAGTGGGTTAATTCACAGAATACTGCAATTTACTAATACAATTGGTGACTTGAATTGGATTTATTCGGTGTCATCACCAGGGGTAACCCACGAAAGTCCGACTCAGAAGATCTTATTCCAGTGAGGTTCTTCTGGTGGCGATGGGCAGTACACAGCGGGTAACAATCCCTACTTTTCAAAGAGTGAACGAGCACATAAGCAACGGCTTAGCCCTCCAGCTGAAACACAAGTAGAGCCGTAGAGGGAATCGAACAGGGTACCAAAAGACGTTGAAACGAACACACAGAGGCTACCACCAGTTTAGCCGACTGAGCTATGTATGGTTAAAATATGTTGTATTTCTATTGTGTGATGTTTATGAAAATGCCTATGGGATCATAAGTAAAATTTGTTAATTATTGCCCTTGCTGTAATTTTACATGTTTTTCATGTTTGTTTCATACAATTCTTATGTAGCATTTTTCCAAACCTTCTCAGATATTAAATGGTTGTAAAAAATAAATTTTCCTGGACCTTCCCGGTATTATGTTCCTGTTTGCCAGCCAGACGGAGTCAACTCAAACACTTACCGTATTCTCCATCCCCTCTCCTTTACATAGGTCTATATTAAAATTACTATCCTCCACCGAAAAGCAACAATCTCAAACTTAAATTTATGTAGTGATAGAAGTTCTCACCGACCTGTATCGTTTAACCAACATTTCATTTTAAAAAAGTTTACGAGGCTAGAATAAATGAGTAAAGATAGTGCGCTATTATACTGCAACTTACATTTCAGGTTTCATTAAATTGAACCAATGATAGGAATATATTTGTTGTTCAACGGGCGCACTCAACCATAGTCAAGGATAAGTTTAGTTTCTTTCCATCAATCGGTTTAAAATTTTCACATGTTTCAATTACAGCATGTCGCATCAATGGATCTACGTATTGATGACGTATCTTTGAAACCAATATTTTGTAAACTTATTAAACTTTAGAGATAACATTATTTATACCGTTCAACTCATGTTTTATTTAATATCATATCATATGACATTACATCATTTATTTCATCCTTCACATATAATAATACAAAGACTAAAGAACTTTAACGTATAAAAAAACATGACTATCTATCATTTAACTTAAGCTCGAAGGTTTACTTGTTATTATATGAATGAGATTATTGTAAGATTAAATTGAGTAGGTTGTAAAACATTTTGTGCAGAAGGAAATAAAAATCAGCTATAATGATGAACTGTAATAGCCAACCAGGACACATTCCAATTCAAGGGATCACAAAACATTTCACAAAGGCTTTTAACAATACCCGAGTTTGGTGCAAGTGGTGACTGTGCACCAACTGACAAGTACCCTTGGTGCATTGTACCTATTCAGTACTTTTTACACTTAATAGAACAAAAGATGGGAAAGGAAGATATTTGACGGAAATTCTTCATCAGTGAACGCGCACAATTTAAACAAATGACAAACTGGAAATGGTGTGGTTTGCTATTAATAGGCTATCAGCACCTTGCACGGAGTGGTAATCATGTACGGTAAATAATACGATGTAATTAATCACAATAGGTCAACGCCCAGATGTGGAAAACGTACACATTCCTTGGCTTATTATTGATTTGAAACAAAAATAAATTGTCGATTAATTAGGTTGCCCCTATATCTTTTGTTCTCTCACAACGTGGCCATAGAATTTTGATTACCGTTCTTATAATGATATTAACTTCTTTTTTGTGTCCCTTCCTTCTAAATAATTCTTCGTCCGATGTGTTCTCTATGATATTTTCTCTTAAAAACCTGAAATCGACAGCTTTCAGCTTAAAGTGTAAACAGAAGGAAGATGTCAATTTGGAAAAGAAACTCCCAAAAGAATTGTGTACAGTATATACAAACATACTATATTTGTTGAATTCCAGTCCGTAGTTAACGAGTTACTATACTATAGTTAAATCTTCAATTTGTTTAATAGGACACGAAAACAGCATACCGGTACTTCAGTTTTTAAAGAACCAAATGTTGAGCGAAATTTCCTGAGTTAAGAACCCGGATAGTAACACACACTCCGTTCCAAATGATATTATCTCATTATAACATATTCTTTACAATGGTATACTCGTCCATTTGCAAAATTCTTTTTGATATGTATACCGCTGAAAAATACAATGGTTGGTAATTAGAAGAGGCGACGTTTTTCTACAGTATAACACATCCTGCAAACATGCCGTGTACGAACTGTCAAAGGGCACAATATCAAATAAAAAAAATTGTACCGCTTCGTTAGGCTTTGACAGTGACAACGATAGCATCGAGCCTGGTACGCATGTTGTTATTAACTCAGGGTTTTTAAAAATAAAGAAATGCCTCGACAGATTGAAAGGGGTTTTGAAGAATGGTTCCTTGTTTGAACACACCAAGCGTGGTTAGGTATTCAATTAATTTGTTTGGGAGAAAATAATAAACGCTTAGACTAACAAAGTAATAGACCTAGCACAAGAGCGTGGCTTCGCCACGTTCTATATAATTGCGCAGGGTAATATGTAACTGGTTGATTATGCCCATAATATTGTATATAATCCCACTTAGTTGTCATGGCTGCCTATTTTGTACGCTTTTTAAATAATGTTTTAGCCGGATAATCACTGCACCTGACGATCGCCGGTCGATTCTATGGATAAAGAAACGTCACGGCGCACGCGAAACGGATCGCTTTTAATGACGATCCGTTCAGACTGCTTCCGACAATCAACAGACGGCGTCGCGTCATCTAGCGCTCACAGGGAGCGGAGTTAAATTCGTCGTCCGACCGTCCTACGACGCAGTGATTGCCCAGCTTTGTAAAATTGTCTCGTTTGATGATTGAGATCCTTCCAGATTTCAAACTCCGATGCATAATATACATAAGGTATCTAGTCTAGCATGTACATTTAATTTGATTTATTATGTACAAAATAATACTAGGCTTATTATAATTATTATTCAAAAATTGTCTTAATTTAAAGATTTTTTGACAAAAATCTGTTACCGGCCATGATTCAGTGGCTGTATTCGTTATAAAATCATACGAATCATAATTGTAACCTACCGGAGACAGGTTGTCCAGGTATGTACGAGGAGGTAGCTGCTGAAATTGTCCATGGACTTGCAGAATTTTGAGGTTGAAACCCATGACCAGGCGTTAAACTTACACACGCAGCTGGGTTTGCACCTGAGGGGTTAGCTGATGCCAAATAAATGAGGTAAAGCGATAGGGCCAACCTTAACATCACTTGTGGCACTGCCATCGCGTTCGCGTAATGTTCCGACCAAGGTTGAGTAGCACTGTGGTGAGGAAGAGAAAGATTGAATGAAATCGTTCAGCACCGAACTCTCCTATTGAGCTGGAGTAAAACACCCTCATTAGCAAATGAATAGGCTGAGTAATCGCGACAAGTCGACCGTATTGTTAAACATGTGGCTGGTAGTGGTTGGCATTGGTACTTTCCGATGACTCGTTATATCAACTCACTGTGTCACACTTCGATGAATATTTTTCTGTACAACTTAAAGTGCACATTATAAGGCATTGAAGTCACATGTATGCATTGAATACAAACATAGTTTATGCCAATGGTTCTGATTAATTTTGACATTACAAACCAAATAATCATTTATTATAATAACTATTTGGACTGTTGACGTTGTATCCATCCAAGATCAACATAAAGTAGAGTATTTCGAGAGCATTCAGAATGCACCTTTCATTTTTTTTATATTAATGTGATATAAATATTGTGTACATCACACTGAAAAGGCCTACTTGATAGAGAAGGGTTAGCAACTTCTGAGGTCGGCAGGCAAACATAACATTATTGTATAAGCGATATCATCTCCTATTTAACCATTTTCATAAAGAGAATAATCAATTCTGGTACAGGTATGTACATCAATGTTATTTCCAATAAAACAAAATAAAAATGTCCTAATTGAAGTTAAGCCCCCATTCTCTGGTATATTAACCAGCTAAATACAACATTATAGAGATTTCAAATTCATGTCATTCAACATAATTTTATCATCGTTCATATTGTACATAACGAACATCACTAATTCTTACCCAAAAATTTGAGAACGAAAAAGGAGAACGCTGGTGACAAACCTTTAAAAAAAATTAATATAGTTGGCGAGTCATCCAAATTGCTACCCAGAACCTTAAAGAGATTAACATTGACTAGTTACCTATCACTATCCAAACACTTTGTTGAATGATTCACGTTGGCCCAAGTAGGAGTGAATGAGCTTCCTCCCTGGTACAACATAATGCGACTGTATTCATGGTTCTTTCACGAATGTAATTTTGGGTTTATTTTTCATATAATGTAAAAGAATAGAAAAAGGAAAGGTAGTTACATCCTCTAAGTGGAACATAAAGCTAAAAATAGAAGAAGATATAACATTTCTCTACTAAGTAGCAATGGACCAATAAATTACCTTGTATTTTGTTATATTGAATAAACAAGAATAAGTTGTTTTCAATTATTTATATTCTATATTCTTTTCTTAACGCCAATTATTCAATAATTATAGCACAGAAAAACGACTGCATCTATTTAGTTTAATCTATAACGTATTTGAATGGTATGTATTCATCAATTATTTATACAGATGGGATTACAGAACCTAGATTTTGTGTAGTAAGATCGTTATAAACCATAAAATGCAATCTAAAAAGCTTTACTTAAAAGGATCAAATACGTTATTCGTATCACTTACAATAAGAAACTGGTGGAGACAAATTGATTTTTTCTAATTCACATTATTAAGAATCCCAAATTGATTTTCAGCCAATTTACAGGTCTATCTGTAAAAATACACAACAATCATTAACTGTATTTACTAATTATCGTCTAGAAAATGAAATCTAATTATTCACTGAAGTGTACAATATAAGCAGTTCACCTTCATGAAATCTATGTATTTTATAATGGTCCTCCACCTTCAAAAAGCACCAGGTAAATGTTATATCATAATAGTTTTGTGTTGTGTATTTTTAAACAGACAACTGCACATATACGTGAAATTAAAAACAAATCGCATTGTATAACCATTATTATAGACGGTAGATGCATTAATATATAGACCAGAGAAACAATCTCGGCTCATAATATAGTTAGAATGGAATCTTGAAATAGTTCCTACTTGCAATATACTATACACTTGGAATACGAACGTTTGACCTTTTGGCTTAGTCCTATATTTATACTTACAATGTAAATGTCGCAGATTAGTTTTGTTCTTCGGCTCTAGCTTTGATTTAACTCTACGTACTAAAGTTATTGATCACTGTGATTCAGTACGATAGACTTTTAAGTCCATAAAAGCACGTGTATGGCAATATTGGGTAGAGTGTATTATGGAACAATCTAAATTTCGCAGATTCTTTTTTTCTTCAGCTTCGGTTTCATCTTGGATATAACTCTACATGGAGTCATAGATTAATATGATTTAGTATTTTGACCTAAAAGTCCAAAACAATTGTAGTTACATTCCGCTCGTAGTTGTAAGTTTAGTGACCTTGTGAGCAATTTTTAAAGTATTTGAAATTTTGTAATTTAGGTCAATGTTTAAATTTCATTGTTTTGTGTGCTTCTCCTTGTTTGGAGGTTATTTTGAATAAATTTGAAATTTATGTCTTACGAGCACCAACTTCAAAAGCTCCATGACTGATGTCGTGGTAAGACTGTATATTTTGTAGGAAATGACCCAAGGTACTCTGTTCAATAACTTTTCAATAGTGTTGGCCACAATAGCTCCCTTCACAAAAAGTTTGTACACACAGAAACACAGTAACAATTGCCACCTTCTGACTTTTGGAACAGCTATTGATAGTGTAACAGAAATATCATTTTCTTCTTTGATATTTAACCGTTAGATAGTCATCGAATTTTTCTAAATTGTAAGCAGGATTTAGACAATGCTATCCTTTTATTTTATTGTGACATTTCAGCATATTTTAGGTCATGGCCGGAAGTTTGCCTTAAGCTATATAGTATCAGAACCTAGTACCAAAGGGATCGAACCTTTTGTTCAGTTGCAATGAAAATATTTTGAGAATTTAAGTACAACAAAATACTGACATAACCAATTAAAATATATAGGCCAAATCTAATTATGAACCCACTATTATTTCGCATATATATATATA